TATAAGTACTGACTTTTTGGTAGACACAGGCATTAACATTTCATCATGATGTGTATTTTTTTCATACCTGATACATGAAGGCATCTAATCATTATTTTTGGAGAGGAGTTTTCCTATGTTTTCTAGGCTGCAATGTAGTGGGTATTCACAAGTGCAATTGTAAGTTACTGCAGCCTTGAGCTCCTGGTCTCAAAGGATCCCCCATCCTCAGCTGGGATTATAGGTATGTGCTACTATGGCATCTAATTATTCATTGTCCAGATCCTTCAAAGCCATTTAAATTGTTTTCATTAGAGTGTCCTTAAACTGTGAGATTGTGATAGCCTTATCTTCACATGCCAAGTTAGGAAGATGGAATATGTATGTAATAGGTTGTAATGAAAAAAAAACTTTACAGAAAGGCACCCATTTATTGTTTGATGATGATTTTGCTATACAAGACTCAATTCATGATCTTTTTTTCTGCAACAAATTGGAAATTTTATCTCTGAATATCTCAAATTTAGGGATGTCTCCCCCTCCTAGGTGAACTCTTAGCTAATCACAGTGAGATGCAAGTTTCAAGAGACCAAGAGATAGTGGACAATCAGGGATTTTATCTTGTGTAACTGTCCCTTTATTTGTTCATGACCAAATATAATGCTAAGCAGTACTCAGATGTTATCCACATTGCTTCCAGTTCTTTGCCAAGGGTCAATTCTTCACTGAGATGTCTAGGATACCAGCTAAGCTCTGAGGGGAGGGCACAGCTACTAGTTCAAACTACAGATGTTTGTGATACCGAATAGGTGACACCCCAGCCAGCTCAGCTGAGTGGGGCTGGAGGACCTGCGGCCTCTGTCTTGGCAGTGTTGGTGGCAGCAGCCGGCAGCAGAACCAGCAGGACCAGCAGGCTTGAGGAACACCAGCAGGCTTGAGCATAGGCAAGTGAGGGGGGGAAGCTTCCCTCTCCTAATGGAGGCTTCAATAGCTAATGGAACCAGACAGGAACTGGGGAAGACACTGGCGATTCCTCCAGTGCATCCCTGATTGGTCTATTTTCAAAACCTGCTCCTGATTGGTCTGTTTTCAGGACCTGAAAGCTCATTGGACAACTCCCCCTATATAAGTCTTTAAGCAAAGAGCCCAAACACTGCAGACTTTAGAGAGAGAGAGAGAGATGGAGAGCAAGAGCTGTAACACTTATACTGCTGATCCTACTCTGCAAAGAGGTTTGGCTCTTTATGAGAGCTGTAACACTTGTATTATAAAACCTATCTTACTGCTGATCCTGCTCTGCAAGGAAGTTTGGTTCTTTGTGAGAGCTATAACACTTGTTAAATAAAACCTAACCTACTGCTGATCCTGTGGTCTGTTGCTTCATTTTTTGAACCGGGGAGACCAAGAGCCTGGAAATCTAGTATCAAAATCTGGTATCATTTGGACTTTTTTTTTTTTTTTTTTTTAGAGACAGAGTCTCACTTTGTTGCCCTGGTAGAGTGCTATGATGTCATAGCTCACAGCAACCTTCAGCTCTTGGGCTTAGGCACTTCTCTTGCCTCAGCCTTTTAGCTGGGACTACAGGCGCCCGCCACAGCACCTGGGTATTTTTTTGTTGCAGTTTGGCCCAGGTGGGGCTTGAACCCACCACCCTCGGTATATGGGGCTGGCGCCCTACCCACTGAGCCATAGTTGCCGCCCATTTGGACTTCTTTTACAGAGCAAAAATTTTGGGCCAGAGTTGACATCCAATCACATAATTAAAGCAGGTTCAACTATTGCTTTGTAGGAGAGGCCAAACTCTTACCTCCATCCTTCTGGATTCTAGTTGGGCCAGAGAATCAAGTTGACATTGGATAGATTAACAGGAAACAAGGATACAAATTTATTTAATAGAAGTTTTATGTGGCAGGGGAGCCTTTGTAAGGAAGTGATGATCCCAAGATAGATACAGTTACAGTTGAACTTTATATACTGAATTGAATTAAGACAAGTAAACTGTGAGAATGTCATCAGGCAAAGGGATTACTCTATGGCAGTTAATTGGGCGGAAAAGTTACTAAGAAGATAAGGGTTAGTTTAACAAGGTTTGTTTGTAAAGATTTCCCTCAGATTCAATTTCCTGTCTTTGATAAGAACGTTGTTTTTCCTTTTAGTGGAGAGAAGGCATCTTTCACAGGGGAACCTCATCTCCAGCTTCTAAGAAACAGCATCAAGGTCAGAGTTAGCATCTTGCACCTGCTGGTTTTTTTTTCTTTTTCAGTGTTTGAACTTAAAATATTAAATATACCAGAACAGCATATTTTGGAGTGGCATGTTCTTAACTTCTTCAGTCTCTAACAGGTATTCCTTATGTTGTTCAAAGCACTATGGACCAACCAAGTTTTTTATTCTCTCAAGAAACATTTCAAAGGCAAGCAAGCATAGATTTCTATACAGAGAATTCTTGCTCAGTGGGGTGGCTCATGCCTTTAATCCTAGCACTCTGGAAGGCAGGTGGATTGCTTGAGCTCAGGAGTTCGAGACCCACTTGAGCAACGATGAGACCCCCGTCTCTAAAAAAAGAAAAGAAAAATAGGCGGGTTGTAGTGGGCACCTGGTTGTCCCAAGTACTCTGGAGAGGCAAAAGAATCGCTTGAATCGAAGAGTTTGAGGTTGCTGTGAGCTATGATGCCATAGCACTTTACTGAGAGTGACAAAGTGAGACTCTGTCTCAAAAAAAAGAAGAAGAAAAAAGATTTTTTAAAGAAAGTTGCCAATGTGTATACTATTGTTTCTGAGTAGGAACACTTATTCTTGTAGTGCCATGATGAAATCCAATACTTGCGCTTTATCCAACCCCATAAATACCCACTAGTAAAAAGTATTATCACAGTGTGATGTTACAATTTTCTGGTTCCATAGGAATTTCCTTAAATGGAATGCAACCAAAGCCTGACAACAAAACATAGCCCTATAAAATCAACTATTAAATACCACTCAAGAGCACAGGCTTTGCTAGGCAAAGGAAGAAAATTTCCAGATTGCCATCAGAAGATTCAGCACTGATTATGGCAAATTTCAAACCAGAAAGGCTGAACAGTTTACAGGTTTCCTAGCTTTGCGAGGCTGCTTTGGTGCTTTGCAAAATTGGAACTTAATTTCAATACTCCCTTTTCCCAAAGTTGCATTTGATTTGATGCAACCTATAATCAAAAGAAATAAATGCAAACAAAATCAGTGGTTCACGAAGAAGCATCTATTAAAAAAAAAAAAAGGAAAGAAAAAGAAAAGGAGGAAGAAGAGCTCTGATTGGATTCAATTTCACTCTAAGCTTCCTGGCAGCTGAAGACAAAAGTAATGAAAAACAGAAAACATGTTGAATCTGGAAGTATAAGGAATGGTTTTCAGTTTGGCAGCCTGTTGTCACTTGCAGGGTGGCAGGGATCTTTCTCTTAAGTCTTTTCTTAGATTCTGTTTCCTTATTTCAAAAGTATGGACAATAAGAATCTGAAAGAATGTTGAATGATTCAAGGAAATATTGTCTGTGAAGGAAAACTAAAGCATCATAAAAAATGAAATTGACTGTAATCAATCATTTGCATTATCCAGTGAAAATATAACATTTTCTTAAATCAGACAATGTTTTTTTTTTTTGGTCTTACTGCCTGTCACAGGGTGTAGGAGACTGGCAACACATAGTATGTCTGCTGAACTAATGAAGGAAGGAAGGATTGTTACACAGATGTTTTCAAGCTTGGGTAAACATTTAGTCAATTTCATACACTCTTTCAACAAAGTAAATATAGAAGTCAGATCCCTAGCAGCTGAAGAGGAGCTGCAGAAGGTCCTGTGCATAAGGCTGTTCCACTATGAACTCATGACCACAGTTCTAAATAGACTTTCAACACTGCCCAGCAACCTGCTATGATTTCAGGACAACTTCATTCATGAACTTCCCCAATAATTACTTCAAGCTTTTAATCACCATCCACTTAATTCTTCACTCTTCATACCTGAGGTCTACCAAGTCTCTGTATTTTACACTAACATAATACTATTTACTTTTGTTCCTCACGGCATCTATCACCTCCCCAAATTTACATTTATTTGAATCATTATTACATTTATCATTAGTGTTATCAAGTAACTTATTAATAAACCTAATAAAAATTACAAAATCATTGTTAATGTTACACTTACTTCCATCCTTATTACATTTGTTCACTTAATTATGTTGACAAGTGGATCCCAGACCCTAAACTCCAATAGAGGTGGGGCTTGTTTATTGTTCACTTTGTGTTTCAAGGAATAACCGAGTCTCCGACACAGTACGGGTTCTATCGATAATTGCTAAATTAATCAGCATTCCTGACCTCTGGAAACTTTCCGTCTCGTGGAAGCTTCATATGTAATGGTCTAGTGTGCAATGGCCATCTAAAGTTTCGGGGGCGGGCACTGCAGCTCCCCACCCGGGTCCCCGGTAAAGAAACCCGATATGCCTGTTTTGCAAAGTGAACCCCGGAGCAAATGTTTCTCTGGGAGGTGGCGGAACCTGGCCCCTTTACAACGACAAAACAAAACAAGCCCCGAAGCTGCCCAAAAATCTTTTTCTGGATCAGACGAGAGTTGCAGCTGAGGCTTGCGCTCCAGGGCACGACCGGGAATAAACCCAACAAGTATCCAGCGCGCGTCCCGGGCATGCCAGCTGGAAGCTGCGCTGGGCCTGCCTACTCTCATTTCTCCCGCGCGAAGCCCCGCCGGACGGCTCCACTCCCTCTCTCCGCTGCAGGGGGGAGCCTAGCGCCCCCGCACTGGCCGCCGCGTCCAGCCGCACCCCATTGCATCCCCTTCTCGCGCCGCCTGCACAGCGAAGTTCGGTAGTCGTTAAGTTGAGTTCCTGATCCGAGCCTCGAAGCCCAGCGAGGAGGGCGCCGAGCGGGCGGCGGGACGCGCTCCCCCTGTCCCGTGCGCCAAGTGCGCCCCTCCTGAGGCCCGCGGTAGCTCCGAGCCGGGCGCGCTGGCTGCGCGGCCCGGAGGCATTCTCGGTGTGCTGGCCAGTGGCGAGCGAGGCTCCGGTGGCCGCACGCTGGGAGGAGGCTGGAGCCCAGTAAGGAAGAATGGAATTGGCGACACGCTACCAGGTGAGAGTCCGGCGGCCAGCGGCAGCCGGGACGCACCCACGGCATGCCTGCCTTTTCAGCCCTGGCCCTCCTCTTGGCCTTGGGCTGGAAACGTGGTCCGTGCCACGGCGCTGTGGATCGGGCACGCCCGTCGCGGGAACCTCTGAGTGGGCGCACCCTGCAGGTGTGCGTCGTGGGTCCGGATCGTGCCTCCCTGTCTTCAGAAGCTGGGTGCCTCGCTTTGTCTTGGGTGGCTGTCTGGGGGTGCAGGCGGGAGGGAGCAGGGCGCGCAGCGCCAGGGAGACCCGGGGTGGGGAAACTTTTTGTGTGTTCCTCCTTTCTCTGGCAATGAAGCTTAAGAAGGTGTCGTTTTAAAAAAATTAAAAAAATAAAAAACATAGTAGAGAGTCAGATCAGTTCAACTTGGATAGTGGAACTTAAAAGCATTGCTTTTGTGTTTGTTCTAGAACTTTTTTCTTTTCACTTTTAACTGTTTCCCGGCCAAAGCACATGTTTCTAGAACTGTTTTCAAGGAATTCGTAACCAGCGGGGAGGGGGAAATACGGCAACGTCATCGGGCCACGTTGAAAAACAAGCTGCGAGATCCCAATTCATATACACAGCACGACCCCTGTAACTCATTTGGGGCCTCAGTAGCCTTTGAAACTGATTAACAAACTCTTTGAGAGTAAGTTTCCCAAACATTTCAACGAGTGGTAGGAATGAACGTGATTTCAGTTTTCTCTTTTTTCAAATAGCTTTTCTCTGCCTTTTCGTAATGGACATACGTTCTTATTTAGAGATAAGTAATAGACAACTTTTTCAAAAGAACTAAAAATAAAACCTTAAAAAGGGAAGGAAGCAGCTACCCTGCTACTTGTGGGGGCCCCAGAGATGTTTGTAAGAGGGTTGGGTTTTCTTTTTTCTTTTTTTCCGGTTTGCTTTTGTGACGGCTTCTGTGCCCAACTGCTTCCCGCTTACCTACGACTGGAGTTCTTTTTTCCACCTGGGTGCTGGTCCCAGGCGGGCCCCCTGGTCTTCGGAGATGCAAAGCGCTGGGCGGCCAGTGCTGCCCGAGGCCAGGCCGCTGTCACCTGCCCAATCTGGCGTCCAATGGAAGCCCAAGCCACTAACTGTCTCTTTGGTCATTAAGTAATTTCTGAAAGCCTTCCTAAACGTCGATTGAGAAGAAAAATCTCTTGTTGTGGATCTTTCTTTTTCTTTTCTTTTCTTTTCTTTTTTTTTTGAGACAGAGACTCAAGCTGTCCCCCTGGGTAGAATGCCATGGCTTCACTGCTCACAGCAACCTCCAACTCCTGGGCTCAAGCGAGTCTCCTGCCTCAGCCTCCCAAGTAGCTGGGACCACAGGCACCCGCCACAACGCCCGGCTATTTTTTGGTTGCAGCCATTATTGTTGTTTGGCGGGTCTGGGCTGAATTCGAACAGCCACCTTAGGTGTATGTGGCTGGCACCTTAGCTGCTTGAGCCACAGGCGCCGAGCTTGTTGTGGATTTTTATGAGAGGAGTATATTAAAAAATTTCTCCAATGAGGGAAGATACTAAAAGCAAGGAAAGCAAGTAATAAGCCAAGCCTAAGGACTGAGATGGAGCTGGACCCCCCCCATTAGACTTTACCATGTGTTGGCATTCTAGGAGTTTCTTCTCCATATCTTTAAAAAAAAAAAAAAAAAAAAAACAACCTCTGGAAGGAAATACAAGCTTCTTGTGCGTTTCATCAGACAATGTACCTTGATTGCATACCCCCTCCTGAAACTTGTTCTCTTGAAGAGTTCTTTGCACTTCCACTACTGGTGGTAATTTTTCATGTTTAGGAAATGTAAGTGTTCCAGAATATGTAGTTGGAATTGAACATTTTACTGCTACATAATGGGGCTCATTTTTGGTAGTTCTGAAATGTTAAATAAACTATCCTGTGGGGGTAACTTGCAAATTATATCTGACCCATTATGCATCAATTAGGGTAAATTGCCATATGTAAAGTGATCAGGTTCTTCCCCCCCCCCTTTTTCTAAAGACCTCCTAATTAAGGAGGTCACAAATTAAGCTGTGTGATGGTTTTTCCAGTGGAGATCTGTTCATCATGATTTAAATGTGAACAGATTATAGTGTCTTTAAATTAGTGGAGAGTGGTTTTGTGCAGTGGGCAGGTGACTGCAGATAAGAGCACTTAAGGAACATTTTGGGAACAGCAAGACGTTAAATTCCTGTGGTTCTGCTCTGTCCCCCAGTTTTATGAATAAAGCAGTGTGATGAACCACCTGAAGTGGCGTATACTGGGAATATGGCTCTGCTCGTGTGCAGTGGGGTTTAATTTCACACGTGCAGTAAATTTAATTTCCATCCCCTGAAAAGCACGGAGCCAGAAGGTGTTTCAGCAAAGCAGCTTAGGCCTAATGTGAATGAGTAAGTGAAAGGGAAGAGGCACCGATTTACACTCTGAACTATGAATCTCTCTGCTTTTCCAGGATCCCACCAGTGTGTGGGATTTAATGTCCTCTAACAGTGCTTATGCCTGTGGAGGAGGGTGGTAGTCTTGTTGGGCCAACCACTTGTGTCTTTGTGCTTTTATATTGAATGACCAATAATACCTGCTAAAGGCAAGAGTGTGTGCCCACTGGAGCTGGAGCTTCCTAGCAGAGCAACTGTAGATTCTGAATGTCAGTGACCTCCTTGAACTCTCTTCCAGCTCCAGGGTGCAGGATGGACCTTTTAAGAAGGAAATGACACTAAGTGCTCTCATGAATATGCAGGAGCTAGCTGTAGTAGGGGCAGAGGGGAATTTTTCTGGTGTTGACCTCATAGCTGCAAAGTGTGTGCCTCGAACCTCAGAAGCTGGCCACAGAGAAGGGTCATTTGTGCTTTCTTTGAAGGACCATGATTTTCTGCCTCAGTTGTCCTATACGGGGCGGCCATACAGTTTGTGTGCAATTTAAAATTAAAGTAATTAAAGTTTTGATTTAAAATTGCACACAAACTGTACGGCCCCCCTGTTTTTAAAAGTTGTTCTGAGTACTGATGACCATCCCCTCCACAGCGCAGTTGAATTGTTAATGATGAGAGGAAGACCTCAGAGATCATAGCAATTCTGATCCAGATACACAGGACAGAAAGCCAGGAGAGACTGTGTCTTTAAAACAATTTATGAATATTAGAGTAAATTAGCAAAATAGGCTAATAAAGTCATTTGAATAGAATATCCCAGGTGTATTAATTTTACCCTGCTCTTGAGAGTTTTCCTTTATTCATTAGCACTCCCTTTGAGTTAGTTTAGAATTTTACCTACAAGGTACAGTTTTATTTTATAAAAGACAGCTTTACTCACTGAAGTGGAATTTAATATAGGCTACTTGAGGCAGGGATAGAGATAGGAAAACATTAGTAGGACCACTTGCTTTTCATAAACAAGAAAATAAAGGGTTTTCTGAATATATATACATATATGTGTGTGTGTGTGTATTCCTGTTTTTGGCCGGGGCCGGGTTTGAACCCACCACCTCTGGGATGTTGAGCTGGTGCCCTACTCATTTGAGCCACAGGCGCTGCCTGGTTTTCTGAATATTTTGAAATAGGACCATTCAGAGGCATATTTGGCAAATTCAAATGAATTTGACACTCAGAAAAACGTATCTTCCATTGTAGTAAGTGCTAGTGCCACGTATGCAGGGCAGAAATATGTCGTGGAGTCTCATAAAATAAGAGACTGGAGTTTTCGTTCAAAGGAATCATTGATGCTTCCTTCCTGTTTTTTGCAGTCATCCGCTGAGAATAGGGATTTCTGACTGGGTTGATCCACTCTCAGATGCTTGTTGAGCACCTGCTATGTGCTGCTTGGTAGTTAATACTGGAAGAACAAAGACACAGAAGACACTTTGCTTCCCCCGTGCTCCCCACCAGAAGGCCAATCTTGAACTGCTTGCCTCATTCTGTCCCAGAGCTCAGCTGGCCTCCTAGGCCACCTGGAGGTTGGGGGGGGAGACCTTGGGAGTCATCCTTTTCGCCCCAAAGAAGGGAAACTGTCATTTCCTTTTAAAAGCCAGGTAGTGTTAGGTAGTTAAAGTTACCAGATTTAATGCTTGCTATAGTTCTGTAAAGTAGGCTGTATTAGCCTCATTTTAAAGATTAGGCTGCTTTGACTAATTTGCTCAGGGCAATTTAGGGGGAAAGAGCTCATCTCAGATTCCCTCCCCAGAAGCCACTGCCTGGCTCTTGCCACTGGAATCCTGGGACTTTGGCAGGTCAGAGAACTTTACCTAAAAGAACTGAGAATAGAAATCTTTACTTAGAGTGCTACCGAGCTGATCAAGGACACGCTGAGTGTAACATACTGTTTAAATAAAAGGGTGTTTGGTCCTCCCTTTAACTGAAGGGCTGGGGTGTTAAGGGCAGCTGGTCTGGTCCTTTTTTTAGGAATTAGCCGGAGTCTACTGTGTAGAAGTCAGCTTGGGAATATAAATAGGATCCACAGAGTTTTTACGGGGGAATAACTTTTCACATAGGACAGACATCATCATGTTAGTACAAGCTGAAATGAAAACAATACATTGAACTACGGTTCTGCCTCTTCTCTGTACCTCACTTTCTGGACGGTTTCCATCTACTGTTTGTCTGTAGCACAATCATCATTTGTGCATAACCTCTGTAATACAGTTGCTCACTGTGACACTGTCACTATTTTATTGAGTAGCTTGAAAGTTTTTACAGTTTTCATTTTTAGTGACTATATAGTATTTCACTGAGTAGGTGTGTGTTTCATGTATTAATTTTGTGTATTTTCTGATGGAATTTTTTTTTCCTTAGAGAAACTTGGCAATCACTGTCTTGGGACACTGTCTTGTATATCTTTCGGCTTACGTTGGAGTCCAGACTTTTTAATTACTGTTTGTGATGTATTTAGTACCTTTTAAATGTGCCTGCTTTTTAATGGATGGAAACCTGTGACGTTCCATTTTCCTAGGGCATTTCCCGTTTTGTTGTGCTGTATTAACTGAGAGAGAGTAGTT